CTGCAGGGAGCCGGATGTGGGACTCATCAGGATCAGGCCCCCAGGCTGAAGGCAGGCACCAAACCACTGAGCCACCCGGGCTGCCCTAAAGGCATTTACAGTAACACACCCACACCGGCTTGTGCACACACACATCTATGAATTCCCCTGGAAGAAATTTAACAAAAAATGTACAAGGCCTGTATGCAGAAAGTTATAAAACTTAACTAACAGATCCTAAAGATCAAATAAATGGAGCTAGTGACATTTATCAAGAGAAGGATGTAAAGCAATCGGTGTGTCATCCTAGGCTTTAAAGTGGTTTCAGACAAGTTGAGCAACAGATACACCAGAGAGCCCAGAAACAGACACACATACGTGCACACACATGATGCACACCTGACAGTCTCATACACACATGTACACACACAACACACACTCTCATAAACACACACACACAAATTTTTATATATAACAGGTGAAATGGCAGATCAGTGGAGGAAAGAAGGGACTGTTGCATAACCAAGCTGGAGAAATCGGTTATCCATAAGAATAAAAATTAAAAATGGATTCCTACCCACGTATACACACAATAGCTTCAGAATGATGAAAACTTAAGTGTCAAAAATAAGTGTAAAACTTGGGAAGAAAATAGGGGAGAGTATCTTGTGACTTTGGGGGTGAGGTTGAATTTCCTAAACAAGAGGCAAAATGCTAAACACAAAATAAAAGATTGATAAATTGAGCTACATTAACATTAGGAACTTCATCAAAAGTAATTTAAAGATTTTATTTATTTGAGAGAAAGAACACAAGCAGGGAAGGGCAGAGGGAGAAGCAGACTCCCTGCTGAGCGGGGAGCTGCCTTGGGGCTGGATTGATCCTGGGGCTTAATGGGTCCTGGGGCTCAGTCCTGGGGCTCCTGGGTCTTGACCTGAGCCCAAGGCAGACGCTTAACCAACTGAGCCACCCAGGCGTCCCCATCAAAAGGTAACTCAAATGTCACTTTCTCAGTGAAGTGTTTGCTGAGCGTCCTTACTGAAATTGCAGATCAGACCCCATCTCCCTGCCACTCCCACCCTTCCTTCACTGATTTATTTTTCTCCTTAGTACTTATTTCCTTTTAACATACTAAGTTTACTTACTGTTGTTTATTATAAAATAGTCATGAGAGCAAGATTTTTGACATTTTTTCTCCTTGCTCTGTCCCTAGAATGTAAATAGGTGCTGATGCATACCAACTGTTTAATCATTTTTGAATGGATGAATGTGTCTTAGCTCCTTGACTTTTTGTGCATTTTAAGAAAGCATGTGTCTTAAGCTTCTTGACATCTTCCTTGCCTACAACAGTGCTAACAGTGAAATAGGCATCGGAATATGATTGCTTCCTTTGGTACCTGCTTGCATGGCACAGTGACAAAAATGTGTGGGTGTTTTTCAATTTGTAATTGATAATAGATCATAGATAATCCCCTCTACTATAGTGGCTCCTTCATTTGTTGTTTTCTAATGATTTTGGTTTTGTTTATTTGTTTTTCCTTTAAAAAAAAGATTTTATTTATTTATTCATGAGACACAGAGAGAGAGACAGGCAGAGGGAGGAGCAGCTCCCCTATGGGGAGCCCGATGTGGGACTCAATCCCAGGACCCCAGGATCATGACCTGGACTGAAGGCAGAGGCTCCACCGTTGAGCCACCCAGACATGCCTGTTGATTTGTTTTTCTTACGGTTCTCTGGTGGAGGGGTTGGCTTATTCCTCAGTTCACACTGTTATCATCACTGATCCAAATAACAATCTTCACTTATCTGTTTACCTTTTTTAATTTCCATTTCTCTTTTTGTTTATCCCTTTTCTATACATTTTTGTAAATTCTGTACCTTTGTTTTATGCATATATTTTTAAGTTATGTAAACTATATTGCATTATATCTCCAACCTCTTCCTTACTTTTTAAACTCAACTGTATTATGAAAATCTCTTTCAGTCGAGTTCCAAACTGTCTTCATATCCTTGTTAGTCTTTTGGATTTTTTCTCGTGGTCCATAAGAAGCAGCATACCGTAGGCAGTTAACAGCATGGACCCTGGTGGGCCGCCTGGTCGGCTCGGGCAATAGAGTATATGACTCTTGATTCCAGGGCCGTGAGTTCAAGCCCCATGCTGGGCGTAGAGCTTACTTAAAAATAAATAACCAGGGCAGCCCAGGTGGCTTAGAGGTTTAGCGCCGCCTTCAGCCCAGGGCGTGATCCTGGGGTCCTGGGATAGAGTCCTGCGTCGGGCTCCCTGCATGAGCCTGCTTCTCCCTCTGCCTGTGTCTCTCTCTCTCTCTCTCTGTGTCTTTCATAAATAAATAAATCTTTAAAAATATAAATAAATAAATAAATAAATAAATAAATAAATAAATAAATAAATAAAATCTTTGAGTAACTAAATAAATAAATAACCAGGGGCTCCTGGGTGGCTCAGTCAGTTAAGTGGACAACTCTTAGTATTGCCTCAGATTGTGGGCTCACAGTCGTGGGATCCACTCAACAAGGAGTCTGCTTCAGATTCTCCCTCCCTCCCCCTCCCACACACTCTCTCTCAAATAAATAAATATTTTAAATAAATAAGTAACCAATTAACTAGCCTGAATGTGAAGGGTAGAACTATAAAGTTATTGAAATAAAATGTAAATTTTTTATTTTTTTATTTATTTTATTTTTATTTTTTTATTTATGATAGTCACAGAGGGAGAGAGAGAGAGAGGTGCAGAGACACAGGCAGAGGGAGAAGCAGGCTCCACGCACCGGGAGCCCGATGTGGGACTCGATCCCGGGTCTCCAGGATCGCGCCCTGGGCCAAAGGCAGGCGCCAAACCGCTGCGCCACCCAGGGATCCCCCTAAATTTTTTATTTTTAAAAAAGATTTATAGGGGCACCTGGGTGCCTCAGCAGTTGAGCATCTGCCTCTGGCTCAGGTTGTAACCCCGGGGTCCTGGGATTGAGTCCCATGTCGGGCTCCCTGCAGGGAGCCTGCTTCTCCTTCTGCCTGTGTCTCTGCCTCTCTGTGTGTGTCTCTCATGAATAAATAAATAAAATATTTAAAAAATAACAAAATAAAATAATAAAGTAGGAATGTTGACAAGGGCATTTTCAACTATATTATGTACTTCTCAAAAAATATGCCTATAGGAAAATTTTTCCTTAGGATAAAAGTGTCTTACTAGGTTTGCTTTTATTTTATGGTCACTGAGTCTTGAACCTGGGCATGTTCCATCTGCTTTGGCCTTAGGAAACTCAGAGGTAGAATTCCACCTGCCACGTGGTACCACATGAGATTCATTTCTTCAAGCTCTTTTTTCCTCCTGAATTCTTATTTCTTACTCACCCTAACCCTTTGCCGAATATCTCAATTATTCACTTTTAGTAAGAGTTTGTCCTGTCTTGAACACCCTAATATGTCCTAGGTAATTAACATATATCATCCATTTAATCTTCGTAGCAAGCTGTGAGACTGGGACATTGTCCTTTACAAATGAGGTTAGTAAATTTAAGTCACTTATTCCTGGACACATGCATAGCAAGTGGAGAGCCCAGAAGCAGACTGCTCTGACTCCCACATGCATGTTCCACCTGCTGTCCAGGTGGTCTACGTACTAAGAAATAGGTTCCTGGACACCATTCCCAACCTGCTAAAAAAGAATCTGAGTTGTAGAGGGGCCAGTGATCTACATTCGGGTGTCCCAAGTGACTCCCATGCACCCGAAAGCGCAAGATTTCCTGCACAGGCTGTATAGCTATCTGCCCTCTATCTGCTGAGATACTGCACATAGCTTTTCTAAGAATTTTTCCCTAACCAAACAGATATTACTTCACGTAAGACGTCAAGCCTGTCACGCTGCTGACCTTGATTGTGTGTAGATATTCATGTGTAATTATTATTATTCTTTCTGCCAATCCTTCTCTGGTGAATTTTCTTGAAGACATAGTTTTCCAAAGTGTCCACTATGTTTTAGTCCAGCAAAGAGGAGTTTTAAGGGGGTGATGTTTGGACAGTGGTTCACGTCATGCAGACGGGAGATGACCCTTGTTCCTTGTAATTATGGAGGGTGGAACCACACTGGCGAGGTGAGTGCTACAGAGAGGTGGGATTTCTGCACACTTCCATTGAATTCATAAGAGAAGCATGTGTTTACCTATAGGCCTAGGGGACATTGACCTTGAGCTGCTCTCAATGAGAAACAGCAAGAAACTCAGTGCAGGGCAGCCCCGATGGTGCAGTGGTTTAGTGCCGCCTGCGGCCCAGGGTGTGATCCTGGAGACCTGGGATCGCGTCCCGCGTGGGGCTCCCTGCATGGAGCCTGCTTCTCCCTCTGCCAGTGTCTCTGCCCCTCTCTCTCTCTCTGAATGAATAAATAAATAAATATTTTTAAAAAAGAAAAGAAACTCAGTGCAGGGGTGAGCACCAAATGACATCTAACATGGGATGCAGCAAACCTTCCCAAAAGGAGGAGCCCCTGAACTGGCCTTGATGAAAGTGCAGAGGCACCCAGATAGAAGTGGGCAGGTGCCCCAGGCCACTATGCATAAGGTAACATGAGGCTCAGGGCCTTGCTGGAGTAAGAGTAGTCAGCCCTACATGAGCTTGGATCAGCATATGCCTCCTCGGGGTTCAGCCTGCAACCACTGGCTGTGAACTGCAGATGGGTAAGGACTTAGGTTTGCTCTAAGTTTTCCTAATATTTTATATTAGACTGGCCTCCAGCCTTAATGTCATGGGCTGATGTATCCAGAAGTTAAGACTTGTGTGAAGTCAGGGAACTTTCAGTACCGCTCTGCGTAGAGAGAAGTTTTAATAGGGGTTTTTATGAACCCTGTAACATGGAGCCTACCAGCCTTCCCTCCTTAGCATAACTGGGTAACTCACTGGGATCTGGTCCCTGGGATGCTTGGCATGGTTGGAGGCATCTGGTCCTCCTTGGGGCGCTCCGAGCCACAGCCCTTCCCTGTGGCCTCATCGGGGCCTGTCTGGTTGTTGCAGTGCAAGCCACATGGATGGCCTACGACATGGTGGTGATGCGAACCAACCCCACGCTGGCAGAGTCCATGCGCCGACTGGAGGATGCCTTCCTCAACTGCAAGGAGGAGATGGAGAAGAACTGGCAAGAGCTGCTCAATGAGACCAAGCACAAACAATAGGCCACTGCCCACCCACGGCCGCCACGCTGCTGTCTGCCGGTGCAGAAGGGCCCTGGGGCACGGAGCCTCCTCTGCTGGCAGAGCAACAGCAACCGAAATATATAGCTGCATGAATAGTACTTGTTTCTCAATAAACTTATTTTTAAGGACAACCGAGGACCCCTTTCTGTCCTACCCAGCAGCTTTCCAAACCTTGCAAACAAAAAGTGAGAATTATAAGATGCAGATGCCTTCAATGAATTAAATATATTTAGTGCCAGCAGCACTGAGCAGAATAAAAAGCAAAAATGGGGCTGGATAGGGACAAACCAGGTCAGACGGTGGGACGGGCAGCAGTAGTCAGATTTATTTGCCTTCCTGTGGTGGATTCCAAAATAGGTAAAGGGCAACATCGTTCATTCATCCTGGGCACTGTAAGGGGTGCTCACAGATGTGACCGTATGTTCTCACAAGTCTCCTGAGTGACAGATGGTCGTTATCCCCGTTTTACAGAGGAGAAGAATGAAGGTAACATCGAGGTCTGTGGCTCACGGGAAAGAGCTCGGGAAGAAGCTGGGCCTCGTGTAAGAACCGGAGTTGGTGGGAGGTGAGGCTGGCTTCCAGGGCAGAGCAGGTGGGAGGGACCCCCCGCCCAGGGGTGTGAGCCCAAGGGGTCCTGGCCAGGCCTGGCGGGGCCTACAGGCGGCAGAGTGGTTTCAGAGACAAGGTTTAGGCCTTGGGGACCAGTTGGACAAATGAGGGCTCCAGAGTTGTTCCCAGAAGAGCCAAGCAGGCTCCCGAGGCCTGAGGCGAGGACATTTCCCCGGGGACTTCTCCGTCCCTTGTCCCCCTTCCCACTCCCTCAGACGCCCTGCCCAGCTTGAAGCGCTCGCTCGGGACAACACACAGGGGTGTGACTGTGTTTCCACCTCTTCCTCCACAGGCCAAGTCCTGGTCCTTAGGGCCACATCAGTCCCTGGCTTGGAGGCCCCGCAGCCAGGCCTTCTTCCCAGGCCGGGGTGGGTGCTGTGGGACCGTCCTGAGGAGGGGCTGGTGGAGCCAGCTGTGGGCGGCGTGGACGAGTCCTAAGGAGTGGACGGCGCTGGGTGGGCAGGTGGGAAGCGGCTCCCGGGAGCAAGGAGCCTGAGCCCCAAGGGAGAAGCCTCTGTTGGGGGCGATGCAGGGGATCAGCAGCCTTATCCTAACAGAAAAGCGAGGTTGTCCCAGAAGCCCCGGCAGAGAGTTCTGGATCCCCGACACCGTGGGCGGCCGGGGTCTCGGGGGGCAGCCCCTCAGAGCGCAGTCTGCAGGGGGTGCGCGGCGGGCAGGGTCAGCACGAAGGGGCAGAGGACTCCCCTGCTCCCCAGGGGAAAGGGCTGTAGCTCCCGGGCCTGGAACTGCGCGGTCCCCTCGGACACCGTGAAGGTGGCGGTGACCTGGCGGTTGAGGCAGTAGATGGTGTCGCCCAGCGCGGCGCAGTGCAGTGGGGCGGGGGTGGGCAGCGGCAGGGGCGCGGCGCGGCTCCAGGAGCCCGTCACCGTGTTGTAGCGCAGGACGGCGGCGCCCACGCCGCGCAGCAGGTCGAAGCGGTATAGGTAGCCGCCCAGGGCCACCATGTCGCTGCAACGCCGGTGGCTGGCGCTGTAGGGACACTCGTCCCACGCGTCCTTCCCGGGGCTGTACCTGAGCAGGCGGTAGGAGAGGTGGCCGCCGGTCACGTAGATGTCCCCGCGGCAGGCCACGGCCTCGTGCGCCACCGGGAAGGAGCCCGCGGGGAGGGGCGCGCGCGGCGTCCAGGCGTCGGTGCGCGGGTCGTAGCGCTCCACGCTGCGCAGGCACTCGCCGCCGATGGCGTACAGCAGCCCGTCCAGGGCCACCAGCTTGAGCTGCGCGCGCGCCTGCCGCATGGGCCGCACCTGGCTCCACACGTCGGTCAGCGGGTTGTAGCAGAACACCTGGTCGGAGCAGGCGGCCGCGGCGCCCGAGCCTCGCACGCCCCCCGCCAGGAACAGATAGTTGTGCATTGTGCACAGCGCGCAGCCGCGCAGCGGGGCCTCGGCCGGCACCGGCGTCAGCGCCCGCCAGGTGTTCTTGCACGGGTCGAGCACGTGCAGGTGCGGCCGGGCGGCTGCCTCCGCCCCCGCGCCCCCGCCCCCGCCGCGCGTCCCGCCGCCCTGGTAGGGGCCGGGCAGCACCAGCACCCCCAGCACGGCCTGGCCGCGCCCCGTGCGGAGTCTCAGGATGCGCTCGCGGGCCGCGCCGCTCAGCCGCCGGTACAGGGCGGCGTCCCCCAGCACGCGCAGCAGGTCGTCGCTCAGCAGGGCGTAGGGGTCCCGCCCCGGCCCCCCCGCCTCCCAGCTCCCCGGGCCCGGGCGCGTCGGGGCCCCCAACACCGCCCAGCAGCCTGCAGCGCGCGCCTCACCGCCCGGGGCCCCGCCCCACCGCCCGGGGGACACCGCCTTGCTGGCGTCAGGCTCAGGACTCCCTGCGACGCCCGGGCCCCCCGGGGCCCTCGCGCCCACATCTAAGGAGCCATCCGTGACCACCAGGCTGGGGGCTGCCCCTTCGGGGGCAGAACACTCTCTGTCCTCAGGGGCCTTGCCAGGGCTGGGATCCCTGGGGCCCCGGGGAGCTGCCCTTGGGGCCCTCCCTTGGTGTCTCTCCTGCCTGGGGAAAGGGTGACTCCTAAGAACCATGGAAATAAGGTTTTCCCAGCTGCTTGAGAGCTGCCCCTCCTGCTTGTCCTTGCAGAGAGCCACCCTGTGCTCCTGGGGTGTCGGCCCTGACCCACTATTGGGGGCAAGGGATGGGGGGGCCTCGGCTGGGCCTGGGATTAGGACTGGGGCTGGGGTTAGGGTTGGGGATGAGTTTGGCGCTGGGGCTGCAGCTGAGGTTGGGGCTACGCATGGGGTTGGGGCTGGGACTGGGTTTGGGGTTGGGGATGAGGTTGGGGCTGGGGATGGGGCTGGGGCTGCAGCTGGGGCTGGGGTCGGGGTTTGGGCTGGGGCTGCCGCTACACCGGCAGTTTCATCCTCGGCAGGACACTGGCCAACTCTCAGGGACAAAGAGTCTGAGGGAGAGGAGGTCGGAGGAGTTGGGGAAGGTGAGGGTGGCAGGGCCGGGGGCTCATGAGTGGGGGGACCCCCTGCCTCCCACCCACCGCTCTGCACCCCCAGGCCTGGGCCAGAGAAGGAGCCGTGTCCGGAGCCCCGAGCCCCCACCTTGCCCTCCTCGGCGGCGTCCGGGGTCCCCTGTCCCCGAGGCAGGAGTGGGTGTCCACCCTGTGACCCTGCTGGCCTTGGGCCCCTGGAGCCTGGGGCCTGGCTGACGCTCCCGGGGCCCAGGAGCTCTGTCTGCGCCCAGGGCCAGGCTTCCTCAGAGGTAGGGGGTCCCTGAGACTGCGGAGCAGAGCCTGGGGCTGCTGGGAGGCCACTGTCCCCACGTCCCGTGGCTGCCGCCCCCCCCAGGGGCCCGGTGTGAGCGGCGGGAGCAGGGGGCATCTGCGGGGGAAGAGCAGGCCCCAGGGAGCCGGCGGCGTCCACCGCGTCCCACACGCTCAGCACAGCGCCCTGCTGAGCAGGGTGCACCTTGGGGAAATAGGGGTCTCTGTCCCCCAAGCCCCGGTTGGGCGACCACCGCCGGCGGCTGCAGCCCCTCTCCAGGGAGCCGGGCAGCCCCACACCTTGTCGCCGGGGGTTGGGGTCCTGTTCTGTGGCGTGGGCCGCGGCCTGGCCAGTTGGCACCTTGGCTAGGACGCCACCTGCCCCCACCTGCCCTTCCGTCCTCCTGCCAGGGCTCCGAGGGGTGAAGTGTATCAGGAGGGGGCCAGAGGCTCCCCCTCCGCTGCTCCCACCCTGGAGGGCAGCACCCGGCCTGAGAGGCTCCCTTCTTTTACCTCGGGGGGCTTCTCGAGGGGCGTTACCTTGATGCTGTCCTGCGGCCCCTCCGCGGGTCACCTCGCCAGGTGTCTGGAGTGGAGATGCTGCTGCGGTGACCAGACCCCCCCCTTCCCGCAGTGTCTGGTCCCAGGCCCCGGCTGCAGGCGGCCTCCCCTGGCTGCATCCTGGCGGCTCCGACTCCCCCTGCCCTGAGCCGTGGCCGTCGCCGACCTGGGACGTCAGGGGCAGGGCTGGCCCTGGACTTCCCGCTTTAGGCTGGGCCGCGGGGGTCGTGGGTGCGGGTCCTGACGCCTCCCGCTCCTGCCCAGAGCCAAACCAGTGCAGGGCGAGTGCGGTGGCCGCCACCACGGCCAGTGCCAGCAGCGTGAGCGCGGGCCCGTCCCAGTCATCCTCCGTGTCCCAGCCCCAGCCCAGCCCGGACCCTGGGGCGCCCTGGGTCATGGTGCACACTGCCCACGGGTGAGGGGCGCCTGCTGAGGGGCCTCAGTCTGCGTGGCGCCAGAAGGAGCCTCCCTGAGACTGCATGCTGTCCAGGCGCTCCGGGAGCTCAGGGACCCCGCCGGGCCCACCTGCCCCCTCCTTTCCCATAGGTTCCAGCGGCAAGTGCCATTGTCCTCAGGACTGTCCTGCGTCTCAGCCAACCTGCCTCTGCCTGCGGACCTTCTGACCCCCAGGCCTCCTGCACGGAGTCCCAGCTTGGAGCTGGTGCACCTCAGGCTGTCGGGGCAGAGTTACCCACCGGGAGATGTTATCTGCAGCTTTAGCAACACGATGCAGCCGATGAGATTACCAGAAACCCAAGAAGCCCATTCCACTGCTGGGGGTGGGGGGGCTGGGGGGGTGGGGGGGTGCAGGAGAGCCAGAGGCCATGGGGCCAACCCTGCAGGCTTGTCTCAGGGCATGCATCCTCTCGCTAAGCTCTGCCCCGCGACGTGACGTGCACCCTCCTGTCACCTGGGGGGGGGGGGGATGGACTGGGACTTGCACTGTTCTCTCCCAGAATGCATGAGGGCCTGGGAGGGACCAGGCCTAAAGCAGCTCCCTTCCTCCAGCAGCCTCTGGAAGTCCCTCATCCTGAGCTCAGAAGAGGTGGGATGGAGTTTTCAAAAGGAATGTTCTAAGCTAAGAGGAAAAAAATGAACAAAATCAAACCCAAAGTTGTATTTTTTTTTTCCAAAGTTGTATTTCCTTATTGGCCTGATTATCCCAATCTGCCTGCCCTCTCCAGCACCTGCTGGGCCTCCCCTGCACCCCAAGAGCACCTGCCTGCTCGGATTCCTCTCATGGTGCTCCCAGAAAGCCTGAGCCCAGCCTGCCTCAGCCCCGATGCCGTAGCAGCCAGCCCCTAGGGGCCCTCCGAGACCTCCGCTGACCCCGTGCATCGCCCTGGCTCCTGGCTGCCCATCCCATCCCCTGACCCTCCCCCGTCTTCGCCAAATCACTGCAGTCCGCTGTCCTCCGTGGAAGTCAACCCCTCACAGGCCAGCATGTAGACGCCTATGCAGGCCGTGCACCTGGCCTGCCTTGGCCTGTTCCGCAGGTACGAGCCACGTCTTCTCCCCCTGCTCCTCACTTAACCCGAGGCACGTGGGGCCCAGACGTGAACAGGAGCCAGGAGTCTCCGGGACAAAGGCAGGCCCCCCCCCCCAACATGTATTCGTTCCTTTTTCTAGGACACAGGACCTCTCCCTGACTCAGACACTGAGGATACGGCCAAGGAGCATCCCTGGCACCCAGCCCGGGCTCCGCTGGACCTCAGGTACATCACCCATCTGGTGGCCTCCCAGCTCCCCAGAGCATATTAGATGACAGTTAGAGGGTGGAAGGCGGGCCCAAGCTTTAAGGTGGACCTCAAGTTGGTGGCAGGCTTTATGGACATTGTACCTATACCTGTCCCAGTCCCAGGCTCTGTCTCTTGGTTGTTTGGGGTCCAAAGGCCTTGAAAAGACGGACGTGACATGCCCTTCTTACAGGCCACGCAGAAGCCCATCAGGCATCTCCACCCAGCTTCTGAAGACACCTGTTGTTAGCGGGGCCAGGCTGCTGTCCGAGACCAGAAGACGCGTCACTGGGTGATGCCCTAGGGTGTCACTGTGATCACGGAGGAACCAAGCAAGGAAATCACCCCAACCAGCCTGTCAAGGACCGTCATGGGTCTTGGTGGCACACAGGCGACCAAGGACGGGTCTCGGGCCATCCTCTGTGGAAGAAAACCAGGGGTGGAGGGGGGGGGACTCTGCTGCACGGAGACACTCCCCATTGGGAAGGTGGCTGAGGACATCTTCCCCCCCCAGCTCCTTGGAGATTCCCCTTCCTAACGTCCCGGGGAAAGCCCATGGTCGTGGTCGTGCCGCCGGGAGCTGCGCTACGAGACGCCAACACAGCAAAGTTACCGTTGAGGGGAAAGACAAACATGCAGCAGGACCCTTGGAAGGTGTCCTGCGGGCGCACCGCCCCTCGAAGCTCCTGTTCCTCAGACACTGGGAACAGGAGGAGACGCGCTGCTCCCGCAGCCACACACCCAGTGCTGGGGGCCTGGGGGTAGAAAACGGAGGGCACACGCAGGCTGCTCCACAGCCCTCCCGGGGCCCGAACGGGGCTGGAACACTCAGGAAGAAAAGCGCAGTGATGTGCTGACATGATCCAAGTGGAGAACTAACACACATAAAATGGCGTCCCTTTTTTTTTAAAAAAAATCACTTTTTTTTTCATTTTAAATCATTTAAGGACGCCTGGGTGGCTCAGCAGTTGAGCCTCTGCCTTTGGCTCAGGACATGACCCTAGGGTCCTGGGATCGAGTCCCGCATCAGGCTCCCTGCATGGGGCCTGCTTCTCCCTCTGCCTGTGTCTCTGCCTCTCTCTCTCTCTCTGTCATGAATAAATAAATAAAATAAAAAAACAAAAACAAAAAAACAAAACAAAACAAAAAAACAGTGTGGCACTCACACAAGGACGGACATACAGACCAGGGGAAAGAACTGCAAGTCCAGAAATAAATACGGGCTCTGTGGCCAGTTGATTTTTGGCAGGCGTGCGAAGGCCATTCAACGGGGAAACGTTGGTGTCCGCGAACATGCTGGATTGCTGGATGTCCACGCGCACACCGGAGCCACGCCCCTGCTCACCCTGCGCACACAGGTTGACTTCATGGGGCGCCTGTGCGCTCAGGCGGGGAGCGTCTGCCTCGGGCCCAGGCCGTGCCCCCAGATCCCGGGATCGAGTCCCTCATCGGGCTCCCCGCAGGGGGCCTGCCTCTCTCCGTGTCTCTGCCGCTCTGGGGGGTCTCTCAAATAAATAAAATCTTTAAAACAAATTAACTTAAAATGGATCAACAACCTAAGTACAGGAGCTAAAACCATAAACTCTTAGAAGAAAACATACGGATAAATATTCATGAAGTTGGTTTTAACAGTGGGTTCTCTGGCCCGGCCGGCCCCAGCCCCACATCCCCGCAGCCGGGCGCCCGATGACTGCGGCGGGGCCTGTCACGAGTGCTCGGGCACCGGAAGAACTTCAGGGTGGCCCCGCCGGGCGACCACCTCCCCACCCAGTCGGGACCTAGTTCCCGCAGAGGAGGAGGAGCCATGGCAGCGCCATGGCCCGAAGGCAACCAAGAACGGCTCCTAGGAGGGCACCCGGTGAGGTGGGCGGCCGCGGCGCAGGGCCACCCAGGGCAGAGGACGCCAGGCCCACCCCGGGCAGCATGGCCCGGAGCAAAGCCTCCCCACCGACGGCCAACACGTGGTCCCATGACAAAGCCAGGGACAGTGCTGTGCGAATCATGAGTCACTGAGTCGGTTTCGGCTCGGTCCGATCACAGGGTGGAGATGCCCTCGGCCAGCTCTGTGCTCCACGGGGTGTCTGCTTTTCTCCCTGCCCCCCACCCCCACCCCCTAAAACGAATAAATAAATGTTAAAAAAAAAAAAAAGCAACTACATTTCCGTGCTGTTCCGTGCTATTCTGTATTTACTGACAAAACTAGCACACAAGGGGAGCCGCGTCCACCCCCACGGCAGGGACCCGCGAGGGGACAGCCTCCCACCCAGCCCGCGGTCCCAGCACCCTCTAGGGACAAAACCTAGCGCCACGGCCGCCAGCTCTGGGAGGCCCTATGGGGGCCCCTCCAGGGTCAGGGGAGGGCCCAGCCACACACAGCCCGCGGCTTGGTTCACAAGCCAAGCAGCAGCGTGTGATCGCCACGTGCCCCTCACCCCGTGGGTTCTGCATGTCACCAAAGCAGGTGAGCTCTACGTCCAGCCACCCTGTGTCACTCCCTCCACCATTGCTGTTCTGGTCCAGGGAACAGACCCAACCCCGACCTACAGAAATATAACCCGTTCCTAAACTGGAAACTCAAAACCCTAACCTAGCCTCTCCTCCCCACCGTAACCTACACGGTCGATACAATTCCGATTTCAACGGATTCTCAGAAATTCACCTAGGGAAAAAAAAAGTGTAAAATTATCCAAGCAATTTTGGAAAGGACGCCAAAAAAGAAGGGACTTGCCCTGTCAGGAACCAGAAAGCACTAGAAAGCCACAATAAAACATGAGCATGTATAAAAATGTCATTCCTCTGTACAGCAAAAATTACCAATAAGAAAATAGAAAGAAAAATAACAAATCAAAAACACAAGACCCCCAGAAGAGTTACCATGTGTAACAAAAACATCCTGGACACCTGGCCGGCTCAGTCAGTAGGACATTTAAGTTTTGATTCCAAGATCATGAGTTCAAGCCCCATATTCAGTGTAAAGATTGGTTAAAAATAAAAAAATAATAATTTTTTTGAAGATTTATTTATTTGGGGGAGGAAGGGGCAGGAGAGAGAATCCCAAGCACATTCCCCGCTGAACACAGCGCTGGATCCCACGATCCCGAGATCATGACCTGAGCCGAAATCAAAATCTGGACGTTTAAACGAGTCCCCCAGGAGGTCCCAAAATAAAATCTTTTTTTAAATGTCCTTGGGCAGCCCGGGTGGCTCAGCGGTTTAGCACCGCCTTCAGCCCAGGGCCTGATCCTGGAGACCCGGGATCGAGTCCCGCGTCGGGCTCCCTGCATGGAGCCTGCTTCTCCCTCTGCCTGTGTCTGCCTCTCTCTCTCTGTGTGTGTGTGTGTCTCTCACGAATGAATAAATAAAATCTTTTTAAAAAATTAGCAATTTGCAAATACTTTTGTTTTTAAAATATTCAAAAAAATAAAATATTCAGTAAGATATCTCGTATATGGAATAAAGTTTGTAGTAATCAAACAAAATGATTATAACTTTTAAACTTTAAACACAAAAACTCCCAACGGTCACAGAATTCCAGAATTGAGAAAACTCAAGGAAGTGGTTTCTTCCTTGTTACACCCGCTCTGGTGTCATTGTTCAGCTCAGATCTGAGGCTTAAAGCGAGAAATGCGTCCTCACGGGGGGGAGGAGACACCAGCTGCACTTTGAGCTCCAAGCCCCCTTCACAGTCCCGGCCCAGCCCGGGGCACCCGGCTAAGAACACGGGCGGCGAGTCCAAGCCAAGGTCCTCATGGAATGCAGGCTGTCCTCAAGGATGGGTAGGAAAAATCGCTAATTTGAAAGTTACACGAACCCTCCTGAACTCAACAGTAACCACAGGGTTGTCTAAAATATGACCAACAAAAAATTTGTGGGGTAGGAGTATTGTATCTCCCTCCTCCTTTGGAGTCCTGCTCTCGGGAGGATAATGCAAAGCTGACCAAGTCCGGCTCACTGTATTACCTTTAAATTCTCTCCAAACAATGCCTCCTCCACCCGCCTCTCCTCTCAAGCCGCAGGTCCCCTTGGGAGGCCCGCATCCCTGCCGAGGCCCCCTTGGCAAAGACCAGAATCCCCACAAACCCCTGGGCACCGCTCACCCCCCTCCTCTCCAGGAGCCGCGAGTGCTTGAGAGCTCCAGAATGGGCGCGTTCTTTTAGTTGACTTGATTGTTCCTTTTTCTGTTTCCAAAATAGTTACTAAGTGTCTTTAAAAATTTTTTCTTCATTAGTAACGAGATCATTCAAGGTTATAGATCTTCCTCTGAACGCGGCTTTAGCTGTGCCCTAGAGTTGGACACGAGGGATCTACCTTTGCGATGCTTTAAATATCATGTGGAGCTTCACATTTGAGTTTCTTTGATCCAGTGGTTTTTATTTTTTAAAGCTTTTAATTTATTTATTCATGAGAGACACAGAGAGGCAGAGACACGGGCAGAGGGAGAAGCAGGCTCCATGCTGGGAGCCCAACGCGGGACTCTATCCCAGGACCCCGGGGGTCACGCCCTGAGCCAAAGGCAGGGGCTCAACCGCTGAGCCACCCGGGTGTCCAGATCCAGCGGTTTTTAAAAGACAATTTGTTCATATCTAAGTATTTGTTTTAAAAAAATATATTTTGGACTTTGGGGGCACCTGGGTCAGTCGGTTCAGCTTGGGACTCGAGGTTTGGCTCAGGCCATGATCTTCAGGTGGAGGGATGGGGCCGCGACCATCGCCAGGCTGGGAGCAGAGCCTGCTTGAGATTCTCTGCCCCTCCCCCTGCTGTCTGCGCTCTCAAATAAATAGATGTCTTGTGTAAAAAGAATTATTTTGGACTTCCATCAAAAATGTGCTCTTTATTCAATTTGTATGTTTGTCTTCAGTTTTGTTTTGTGGCCCAGATTGTTTCTGCAAATATTCGCGGGTTTAAATAGATACAAAGTTCTCTCTCTACAGGTGACAAATCGAGCAGGCTGTTTGCGCTTTCTTCATCCTCAGGTCTGTCTTTTGTCTGCAGATCCATCCGTTTCTGGAAGGGTGTCCTGAGGCCTGGGGGAGGGTGCGGCCAGCCTCGGGCGGAGGCCCAGCCCACAGGCCTCCTGGGAGTGCCCAGGGCTCCGGAGGGAGAAGCTGGCCGGTGACGCGGAGGGGTGGGCGGAGCCAGGTCGGGGCGAGGGGCGGCCAGTCCCCCGTTGCCAGGAGGCGGGACCTGGACACAATGGGGTCTGGGAGTCGGGCTGGGCGGGAGCGGGAATCCAGCCCCCCACCTCGCCTTCCCCGCCGGGACCCACAAGAGCAGGTTAGTGTACCAACCTTGGGGGCCCCTCCGGGCACCGGGTCCCCACGCCGCCCCCTCACCCCGGTGCCCTTGCCCGATGCCCCTAAAGTATCCGCGAACCCCAGGTAATTCCTTTCCGGTAGAACTGAGACCAAACTTGGCGCACTCACACCCAACTGGGCTCGTTCTGGGGGCCTGGGGGCAGGGGGCGGGGGCAGGAGCCTGGGGCAGGGCCTGGGGCTGGGGGCTGGGGCCTCGGGTTGGGGTTGGGGCTGGGGCTAGGGGCAGGGGCTGGGGCAGAGGCTGGGGCAGGGCCTGGGGTTGGGGCTGGGGCTGGGGGTGAGGCCTGGGGCAGGGGCCGGGGTCTGGGGGTGCCCCTGACCCCGCGGGGCCCACAAAGCTCCCGCTTGTTTGCCCGGCGCCCGGGATACCGATGGGCCCCGCCCCGGAGTCCGGAGTCCGGAGGCGGGAGGCGGGGCGCTCGGCGGCCCGACCGAGCCCTGGGTGGAGGGGGGGGCCGCTCTTCCGTCCGCAGGTGCCGCAGGCCCGAGCGCCCCGCCGCGCCCCATGGGCTCCGACGTGTGGGTCGGCCCCTGGCGGCCGCACCGGCCCCGCGGCCCCATCGCAGCGCTGTACCGAGGCCCGGGCCCCAAATACCTGCTGCCCCCGAACACCGGTACCGGCGTCTGCCGGAGGGCGAAGGCGCGGCGAGGGCGGGCCCGGGGAGGCGCGGGCCCCGGTGAGGCTGCGACGCCCCCCCCGCAGGCTACACCCTGCACGACCCGTCGCGACCCCGCGCCCCGGCCTTCTCCTTCGGCGCGCGCCTCCCCCCGCCGCGGACGTTTTGCGGCCCCGGCCCCGGCCACCTGGTTCCCGCTCGCATGACCGTGCGCGGCCCCGACGGCAGCCCCGCCTACTCCATCCACGGCCGCCCGCGCCCCGCGGCGCCCCTCCTCACTCCCGGACCGGGTCAGGACCCCTGTGACCCCGGCGTCCCCACCGCCCGGCCGCCTCCCCGGGAACCCCCACCTGCGCCCCGGGCCCCCTCGTGCACCGTCCACTCCAGGCTCAGTGCCCCCATGTCCGGATCTCGAAAGGACCCCGGGCCCCAGTGGCTCTGACCCCCGAAGCCCGGTCCCCCCACCGGGTCCCCAGCAGGCCCACCGCCCCGTCCGCCCCGCAGGCAGGTACTTCCCGGAGCGAGCTGGGAACGCGACGTACCCCAGTGCGCCTCGGCACAGCATCGCGCCCCGCAACTGGGGCGCCCACGCGGAGCAGCAGACCCCAGGTGGGCCCTGGAGGCCGCCCCGCGGGGACCCGGCGGGGACCCCCGTGCAGGCCGAGCCTCGCCGCCACCGCCCGCTGCTGCCCCCCAGGCCCCGCGACCTACACGGTGCCCTCGCTCCTGGGCCCGCGCGTCGTCGGTAAAGTCTCGGCCCCCACTTACTCCATCTACGGCCGCAGCGCAGTGGGCAGCTTCTGCGAGGACCTCAGCAAGGTGGGGGCGGCCGGGGCCCGGGGCCCAAGCTCGAGGCCTGCAGGCTGGACCCAGCGCCCCTGCCGCCCTCCCACAGACCCCGGGCCCCTGCGCCTACCACGTGGTGAGCCCCGCGATCTACAAGACCCGGGCCCCCCAGTTCTCCATGCTGGCGCGGACCTCGCCCCCCCGGGACAACAGCCTGAATCCCGGGCCTGCGGCCTACAGCGTGGACCAGGTGCTCTGGCGTCCCGGGTCCCGGGGCTGGGGTCGGGGCGCGGGGCTGGGGGACCCCCGCGAGGTCAGCGCCGTGTCCTGGGCCCGCAGCACCGGAAGCCCCGCGGCTGGAGCTTCGGAATCCGGCACTCGGACTACCTGGCCCGGGTCTTGACCGACGCGGACGACTGACCAGGCGGGCGGGCCCCACACGTTTGCATAAAGCCTCCCGAGCCTGCAGCGCGTGCGCCCCTCTGTTCGCCGCGGGCGCGCGGGGCGGGGGCGGCGCTTGGTCCCTGGGGTCCCGGCCCGCAGCCGGCCCGCCCAGCCCCGGAAGGCACGCGTTGCCGTGATTGGTGGCGCGGCAGGGTCGTCCCGCCCCCCCGCGGCGGCCATTGGCCCAGAGCCCCGCCCATCCGGGCTGCCCCGCCCCTGCCGTCCACCTGCGGCCGCAGGCCGCCTTTGGGATCCGAGAGGGCGACACCGGGGAAGAGGAGCGGACACGGGAGGGCGGGGCCGGGCCAAGCGCTCCTGCCGCAGAGACACCGACACAGGGCGGCGGCAGGTTCCAGCGGTATCGCACCCCGCAGGCCCGGGGCGATGGAGCCACAGGCCCCCCCCCCCCGGGCGCACCCGCTGACCTCTCGCGGGTAGAGCCAGAGCCCGAGCGACTCCCGGAGCTGATCCGCCTGAGCTAGGCGGACCTCGGGGCGCCTCTGACCCTGGGGCCCCCACTGTCAGTGGCCCCAGGAGAACCCACCACTGTGGAACCCCCCCCCCGTGTTGGCTACACCCCTGTATCTCATGCCCCCGGGCCATGCCACTGCAAGACCTGGGTCTGCAGAAGACTGTGGCACTGGCCTGGGCCAAGTCTGAACAACAGCTCAGCACTCAGAGCATTCCACAGGAGCAGTGGCGGACAAGGTCACCCTGGTCCTCCTACCTGTCCTGGCTGCCTGTGGACTGCAAGGTTAGAAGATGCCTCCTCTCCAGCCCAGAACGTCTGACCCAAAGAGGTCAGCAGCCCACAGGCTGTTTCTAGTTTCAGCCTGGCCTAGACGGAGTCCCCAAAGGCAGACCCCAGGCTTCTGACTCCCAGGATGGAACTGAAGGTTCCCCCTCCCCATCAGCCCCCATCACAGGACCAAGTTGTCCAGCTTCCCTTTCAGTACCCCAGTCAGGACTCCCAAGGGAAGAGCTGGGTATTCCTCTCCCTTGGTTCCCCAGACTTGTGTCCCTAGGAATGGGTACTAGCCTCTTCCCTGTCACTCCCCAAATCAAATGAGGACAGTTTCTTTTCCATTCCCTCTCCACCAGCCCTATATCCGCTACAACTGCTTAGAACTCCAGCTGAAGTCCTAACCAGGGAAAGTAAGGGGAGATGGGAAAGTAGAGGAGTAGCTGCGCAGGTGTACTCAGGTACCTGCCCAGCAGGTACCAGGGATCAACAGATGGGGAATGGGAAATGGGGTGAGGGGGTGCAACCTGGACAAACTGGATTCCATTTCTGGATTCACGGTCATCTAGAGCCCGGAGCAGGTACAGGTGGGCTGACTGGTCACTGATCTAGGTGCCTGATAGTAGTACTGGCCGGAATCTCTGAAGGATCATAACCAGGGTCGGATATTAAAGTTATTTATGAGTCATTGATGGTCACTGAACTTGGATCATCAGTGAAACTTTGGAGTCATTAATAGAGATTTGATCAGAATCACTGTTTGGCCTCTAATCAACCATTAATGGGCCATAAGACATTGATGAGTCAAATCAATGATGAGTCAAACCAGTCATTAATGAGGACTCATCAGAATTGTTCATAAGTCTGTGGTCATGGTCTTGGACACCTGTTGCTGATGAACCTCTGATCGGGGTCAGTGAAGGGGTCAATGAAGGTCACTGGGAGCCCTGATGCAAGGGAGTTTGGCCAGACATAAGGGCTGCTGGAGGCAGTGGGTCACTCTCCTATGGGTCAGGGCAGGAGGCCGGTTCCCGCAGATGGACTCCTGTATGAAGCCAGAGGTGTCTGCCTGCCAGTCATCATGGGTAACTTGACCCCAGACTCTGGGTCTACCGTTTGCATATTAAAGATGCCTGACCTCTGACCCCACAAAGCCTAGGTCCTCTCATCAGGGGACCACGGGACCTCCCCCAGACAGGTGATCCGAAGCAACACCAGGGTCAGGGGCCCCGCATCACAACACGCCTGACCACCAGGGCCGGGCTGGCTGTTGGTCGAGTGTACCACTCTATCTGGGTCCTGATTCCAAGCCCCATGTTGGGTGTAGAGATTACTTAAAAAACAGAACAAGATGCCTGACCACCAACTCAAGAGGTAACCTAACATCCCCACAGTAGGGAACCTGGTCCTCCATGTCCAGCGTCCCTGACCCAAGAGCATCCCCCACATCCCCTCCCAGGAAGCTCAGGCCCCTCACCACCTGCCGCCCCCCGCCCCCGCCCCAGCCTCCTCTACCAGTGAGAAGCCGCTGCTGGTGGACCTGCAGGCCGGGGAGCCCGGATTCCCTGGCCACGCCCGGGCTGGCAGGAGCGCCCGTGAGCACCTGCCCGTGCCCGCTGGAGCCCGTGCGGCCTCTCCGTCGGGCGGTCTCCTAATGGGAGCTCTCCTCTCCCCCTCGGAACTCTGGCGGGCTGGCCTCACACGCCCCTCGGGAGCTGGACGACGGCTCAGCCCCAGGGCCTCCGGGTGCAGACTGACCAGTCCTGGCCCGGGCCTCGGCTCCGGGACCCCCGCGCCAGCGGATAGCGGGCGCCCGGAGACCCCCGTCCCTCCCGGCAAGCCCGGCCCCTTCCCTGAGTTCCCATTCCCTGTCCCTCCCGTCCTCCCCCCGGCGCCTCGGGCCCGCTCCACGGAGCCCGCCCGGCCGCCCCCGCTGGCTTGCAGGGGGCGTCGTGTCCCGGACCGCGCGCCCAGCCCCGCCCGACGCACAGCTGTGGAGCGGGAGAGCGAGCCCGGTGCCGGCGGGAAGAGCGCGGGGAGGGCGGGGTGGCCCGGGCGGGAGCCAGCCTCAGGCGGCGCCCGTCACTTCTGCGCACGCGCGCGGCGGGAAGTAGGGGGAGGGAAGAGGCGAGCCGCACGCACGCCCGCGCATGCGCTCTGGCGCCGAGCATGCGGGAGCGCCCGAGCCCGGCGACCCCTTCCGTGCGGCGCTGCAGAGTTTGTGGAGCGCGGGCCGGGTCCCGGGGAGCTTGGGTCGCGCTCGGCGCGCGACCCGCGCGGGGATCCTGCCTTCTCAGCTGACCGCTGGGCGGAAGGTGTGCGCTCCCAGGAGAGGGGCCCGGGAGGTGCCCGCGAGCCGCCGCCGCGTGCTAGGCAACTTGGCGCGCGCAGCCGCCGTGGAGCGGCCGTGGGGCGGGCCGAGGGTCATCCAGCCCGGAGCGCAGGCCACCGGACGTGGCGGAGAGCAAACGTGGGAATCCCCGGGACGGACCTTTCCGCAGCCGAACAGGTGAGGGGTGTCCTAGGACCAGGGGGCTCCCGCGAGAACGGCACGGAGGCCGGGAGGGGAGGAAGGCGGGGCTTGCGGCTGTGGGAACCTCGCCTCTGCTGGGGCCCAGGCTTGCTGCTGAGCGCGGGCTCGGCCGCCCGTCGGGGGTTGAAGCCACAGACTCACCCGCCTCTTTTCAAGAGATGGGGCTTTATTGCAAACAGGCACACATGCTCAGGCGCGCGAGGCATGCACGTGGGATGCGGCCCGCCGGTGGGGCAGGGAGGACAAGAGGGCAGGAGGGCCGCACGGAGCCGCAGGCGCGGCGGGGCCTGGGTGGGAGCTGGCGCTGGGGAAAGACGAGCGTGGGGCACGGGCCTGGGGACTGCCTGAGCCGCAGCTGAGCTCGTCCGCGGAGCACCGCGGGAGCGGCCTCCGTGAGAGCCTGCGTGGGCTTGGCGCAGCTCCCTGCAGCCACCGGGGTTGACCCAGGACGCTGAGATGACCTCAGGCTCCTGACCCTAGCTCACTGTCCTCCAGGAGCATCAGGTCCATGCTGCTGCTGGCGTGGGCACCCAAGCCTTGGCACAGGCTTGCACATCTCAAGCTGTCAGCCCTCCGATGGACCCCAGGAGGCAGGGCCCTCCACATGAGCTACGGGCTCCTGTCCACGCAGGGCCCTGGAGGGACAGGCGGGCCGAGCGGGCCCCAGGGCCCTGGGCTTCGGACCAGGCTGTTGGTCACCGCCCTGTTTGGGGCTGGGCTGGGCGGGGCCTGGCTGGCTGCAAGGAAGGAGAAGGAGCAGAGGCAGCAGGAACGAAGGACAGAGGCCCTGCGCCAGGCAGCGGTGGGCCAGGGGGACTTCAGTCTGCTGGACCACCACGGACACGCACGCTGCAAGGCCGACTTCCGGGGCCAGTGGGTGCTCCTGTACTTTGGGTTCACTCACTGCCCTGACATCTGCCCCGATGAGCTGGAGAAGCTGGTGCAGGTGGTCCGAGACCTGGAGGCCGAGCCTGGCCTGCCCCCAGTGCAGCCGGTCTTCATCACCGTGGACCCCGAGCGGGACACCGTTGCAGCCATGGCCCGCTACGTCCAGGACTTCCACCCACGGCTGCTAGGCCTGACCGGGTCTGCCGAGCAGGTAGCCCAGGTGAGCCGCAGCTACCGCGTGTACTACCGCGCCGGCCCCAAGGATGAGGACCAGGACTATATCGTGGACCACTCCATTGCCATCTACCTGCTCAGCCCCGATGGCCTCTTCACCGACTACTACGGCCGCACCGCGTCCGCACAGCAGATCGCCGAAAGCGTGCGGCGCCACATGGCTGCCTTCCGCAGCATCCTGCACTGAGCCACTCATTAAACGGGGTGTGACAGAGTGGTGGGCCTGTGATCTGTACCGCAGCCCAGGAGGCAAGGGCAGGAAGGGGCTCAGGACTCGGTCACTCACAGAGAGTGCAGGGCACAGGCGGTCCTCTCCCTGCAGAGCAGGACTTGACGGGTTTCTAAGGGTCAGGTGGGTGGTAACACCGTTTTATTGGGCTGGGCCAGCCAGGAAACAGGGTGGAGCGGGCAGATGGGTGCCCGGCACCCCTGGGGGAGCTCCAGAGCCCACTCCCAGCCTCAGTGCTCCCCACTCAGGGCTGGGCCATGGAGGGGGCAGTGTAGGTCTGGAAGCGCTTGTGGGCCCGCTGGTGCGTGAGCAGTCTCAGGGACATGGTGTCCACGGCCGCCTCCAGCCCCGGCTGCTGGGTGATCTCCACTGTGTAGTCATTGGCCTGTAGGGATGAGGTGTCAGCAGAGGCGGGGACCAGGTCCCTCCCAGGCTCCCCAGGCCACTCACCAGCTGCAGGGAGGCCAGCATGGAGCGGCACACCTCAAAGGCAGGCTGGCCAGCCACTAGCTCCGCGAAGGGACACCACTGGTTGAGCTGGCTGAACCTTGAGACCACCTGGTCCCCATAGGTATGGATGTCAAAGGGCACGTGCTGTTCCTACAAGAAGGGGCGAGATCCTGGGGCAAACCAAGGTGGGGGGGGGGTGACCTGACTTATAGCCAGAGCTCAGCTCGACCCCTCACCTGCTCCTGCAGCAGGGGCTGGATGGTGTCTTCCCACTCCCTGATGCGCTGGCTCAGCTCTGTCTCCTGGACGAACTTCTGAGAAGTGGCAATGAAGAGCTCCTGGAGGAGGACCAGGGAGCCGTCACCTTCCGTGCAGGGGCCCCTCCCCCAGCACCCCACCTGCTCTCACTCAGACGTACCACATTCCTTCGGACCAGCTCCTCGTAGCTCAGGGATGCTGACATGGCCTCTGCTTCTGGAAAGCGGAAACTGAGCTGCAATGGCCACGAGCCACGCCCTTTCCTACCTCCCCTGTTCTCTGGGACCCCCTCTCAGGCCTACCCAGGTCTGCAGCGGCCCCGGGCTGAGCCTCAGGAGGCTCTGCATACTCCTCAGGCTCTAGAAAGTCATCTGCTGGTAGACAAGAAGCCACAGCTGGAGGCAGGTTGGCTGGCAGCGGATGTGAATCCCCACCCTGCCCCATCCCAGTAGGCTCCCACCTGCTGTCCTCAGATCCTCCAGGGAATCCTCCAGGTTGTCGTCGTCCTCAGGCCATAGCCCCTCATCAGGCCTTGGCAGCCACCGCTCACCCATCTGTGCAGAGAGCACCCATGAGGGGCACTGCTATCTCCCGGCAGAAGCCATGCGAACTCCACACAGGGGCCAGTACCTACCTCCCTCCTCTGCAGCCGCCGGAGAGTCTCCAGCTGCTCCCTCACATGCTTCCAGTACAGGACCTCCATGTCTGCACACAACGGCCTTGTGAGAGGTGCTCCTGTGTCCTGCCCGGGCCCCCACCCCAGTCTCCCGAGAGCCTTGGGCACCCCCAGGCCCAGGGGAACCAGACAGATGATGCCACAGCACCTTACCTCTCGGGAGAGTGCACACAACCCTGACCTCACCTGCAAAAGATGGGCCCTTCCGCCGGGGCCTCCTGCTATCAGCATGGTCAGCGTCTTCAAGAGAATTTGGTCGGCAGGAATGAGGCCGAGTCCCTGTAGGCTGTCCCCGGACCCTCCCACCCTGGCCCAGCCCACCACTCACAGGCAGCCAGGTACCACTGGTGAAAGTCCTGCAGCTTGGTGGCACCCTTCCTCTTGCGTTTCTGTCCTGGAACCTCCTCCACACGGGGGGGCACGGAGTAAGGTCTACCTGGGGGTAAACGACTATGTCTGGGGGCACAACTTTGGGCCCTGGGGTAGGTTATGGCACCCACAGGCCCCAGGAACAGCTGCACAAGCACAGTTCCTACCAGGCTCCCAATGGTTACAAGCCCACCCTCATCAAATGCTAGTGCTCCAGAGAATCCATCCACAGATGCCAGAGAGGTGTCCCCTTGCACCCACCCAATTACCTTTCTTGAAGGGCTTAGAGTCCAGGGAGTCAAAGGGATCCAGGCTCTGCCAGGGGTCTGGAGTCTCCTGAGCACAGAGCACAAGCAGACGTGGGGGGTGGGGAGCTAAGGATGTGCACCCTCCCCCCAGAGCCCAGACACTGAGCGCAAAGAGCCAGCCACATTCAGGACCTAAGGGTGACACAGCAGGGAGGGAGGAGCCCCAGAGCGGCAGAAGAACAGACTTAACTTCTGGAGGAAGATTCCTTGAGAAAGAGTCCACAGAAAGGGCCTCAGGCTAGGAGCTCAGGTTCTAAAAGCTGGAGGAGTTGGGGGGGGGGGGGACAGTGGAGCTTCAAAGCACACCCTCCCTGGTCTGAGCCCCCATGCCCCTCACCTTCAGGGATGCTGGCTCCCGTTGCTCCCGCAGCACCCACCCACTGGGCTGGGCAGCACTCTGCAAAGAAACAGCTCCAGGGGGTCCCTCTCCTCCTCCCCTCCTCCTCCCTCTCCTCCCCTTCCTCTGGACGAAGAGCCTGGCACCCAAGGCTTGGGCAACCAGCAGCTGTGCCCTGGCATCAGATGTCAAGAACCTTGCAGGGACCCTCTTAGGGTCCACAAAAACTCAAGGAAAATTTTTAGGAGAAAATACAAATTAATGGTTGTGAAGTACCTTTTTCTTTAAAATATACAGAAAAATTTTAATGTTGTGCATCTACCGATCAAAATTAACCAACGTTAACCTCTTTCTTATATGCATCAGTTTTTCTTCTAACAGATTTTTTAGGGCAGCCCCGGTGGCCCAGTGGTTTGGTGCCACCTTCAGCCCGAAGTGTGATCCTAGAGACCCGGGATCGAGTCCCACGTCAGGCTCCCTGTATGGAGCCTGCTTCTCTCTGTCATGAATAAACAAATAAAATCTTTAAAAATAAATAAAAATAGATTTTTTAGCTCCAGGCCAAAACACAAAGGTGACCCATGAGGGTGGTGGGAAGCAGCAAAAGCCTTCAAGCCCGGCCCCTCCTGCCAGCCCGACACCAGAAGAATCAGCTTTGGAAACCAGCCACCATCCTAGGTGCCAGCCACAACAGCATAGGGCGCGGGCCCTTGAACCCCAGCTCCTTGCTGAGGAGCAGCAGCTGTCCTGCTCAGAGAGAGGAAAGGCGTGCTGGGCACACCCCAAAGAGCTGGGGGTGAGGCCAGGTCTAAGGCTGTCTGGAGGGTGCCCAGACAGGACTGCATGGCCCACATGAGCCTGGGGACGCTTGCCTGGCTGACGGCTTGAGCTCTGCAGGCCTCAGTAGGGGTCCCACCTGCTGTGGGCTCCGGGGCTCCTGGGGCTCCTGGGGGACCTCGGGGGCCATGGCCACAGGGAGCTCTGCTGCCCCCTCTTCATCCTCATCCTCACCACCACCTGCAGGCAGCGGATCCTCTGGCGAGGTACCTGAGCAGGTGAGTAGAGAGCAGAGCAGACAGCAGGTGGGAGGCTGCCTTGCCAACGCCCAGGAGAACCTGCAAGGCCACTCCTCACTCGGCCTCCTTCAGCCGACCCAGGGACTGCAGCAGGGCACTCCACACTCTTCTCGTCACACCACTCTGTTCTGTTTGGCTCATTTTCCTTTACCAATTTTCCTCCTGAAACGCTGCCATCCGTGCTTGCCAGGGGAGAAGCAGTAGGCCCAAACCTCACAGGCCCAAGAATGGTCAGAGGGCAGTCACGAGACCAAGACAGCACAGTGAGCCACGGCTGCTCCCCACACCTCACCGCTGGGGTGGCTGAGCACAGCGCACCCCTACCCACACCCTGCAAATGCAGCACCACGCTCCCTTCTCACCTGGCTCCGGGGAGACACTGAGCACGGGGATTGGGCCGCAGGTAGAGACTTCCATTGGCTGCTCCTCAGCCCTCTTAGCTTCTGGCAAAGAGGGGGATTGGGCAGGGTCAGCCCAACCCCTCCCCCAGAAGACCCCTCCCAGGGGCCCAGCAGAGCCAGGGCTCAGCGGGGAGAGCAGAGACCTGGCCCAGGACCCAGGCACCCTGGGTTGAGCCAGCTACAGGCAAAGGGGGCAAAGGGGATGTGCACCAGCAGACACATCCTCACAGCAGGTGCCTGGGGAGGGAGGTGGGACCAGAGCCGGCAGGCACAGGGGACCCCTCCTTCCCAAGCCCGCCACACCCAAGCCCTCACCCTCCTGGTTCCTCGGCAGCAGCGTCTCCGTGGGGGGTATGCCCACCAGCTCCAACATGAAGGCTCCTCTGGGGTGGGGGGTGCAGGTATTCATCCGGAAATCCTTCCGGCTGGCCAGGACTTCCCCCTGACAGCTGTGCTGGCAAAACACATCCACTGCAGAGACCCTTGCCCAGCAGCCTCTCCCCTTATCTGAGTCCCCCTCAGCCAGGCTCAGGCTGATACCTGTACAGGGGGCTGACATTCTTCTCCACCTCATCAGGTGCCACAAGGGCCATGGGCAGGAGAGGGATGATAAGGATCTCCTGCATGGAGGCCAAGAGTGGGTGAGCCACAGGTCCTTTGGGCTCCAGGTGGGGAACCCATATGGGATGACCCCTCCAACCCCTGTCAGCTAAGTGCAGCCCCTACAGAAGGAAGGGCACTCACACGGGGGGCCAGGTCACTCCTCAGATCCACGTTAGTGCGGGCGTCAGGGAGGTCATCCAGCGACAGGAACTATGCGGGGACAAGAGCTCAGGAGCAGCGCCAGGCAAGTGCACAGCAGACAGCAGCCACATACCCAAGAATCTCACCTGGTCCTCTCCCTCCTGGGGAGCCATGGAGCTGGTGTCCCCATCGGCCCCGTGTTCCTGCACCGAGGAGAGCTGCTTGGCCCGCCTGAGAGAGAACCAGTGCATGGGTGTCTGGGAGGCTGCAGGGGCCTCCCACGCTGCACGCAGGGCAGACACACGGGCGTCCGCCTCCTGGCTCACCACCAGTACTCACTTCTTGCCGGAGATGAAATCCAGAGCC